GCGAGCCACAGGGGCTTGGCTCACAGGGTTTGGGGTCTTGGATTTCTAGACAGTGAAAGGTATTTTTTTTATATATGTGTGTGTGTGTGTATATATATATATATTTCAATAGCTTTTGGAGAACAAATGGTTTTTGGTTACATGGATAAATTGTTTAGTGGTGAAGTCTAAGATTTTAGTGCACCCATCACCTGAGTAGTGTACATTTTACCCAATATGTAGTTTTTAATTCCACACCCCTTCCCACTCTTTCCCTTCTGAGTCTCCAAAGTCCATTATATCACTCTGTATGCCTTTTCATACCCATAGCTTAGCTCCCACTTGTAAATGATGACATGTATTTGGTTTTCCATTCCTGAGCTACTTCACTTAGAATAATGGCCTCCAGCTCCATCCAAGTTGCGGCAAAAAGTCATTATTTCATTCTTTTCAATGGCTGAGTAATATTCCATGGTGAATATATATCACATTTTCTTTTATTTATGTATTTATTTATTTATTTATTTATTTTGAGGTGGAGTCTCACTCTGTCGCCCAGGCTGGAGTGCAGTAGCACAATCTTGGCTCACTCCTGGGTTCAGGTGATTCTCTGCCTCAGTCTCCTGAGTAGCTGGGATTACAGGCGCCCGCCACCACACCTGGTTAATTTTTTGCATTTTCAGTAGAGACAGGGTTTCACCACATTTTCTTTATTCACTCATTGGTTGATGGGCACTTTAGTTGGTACCATATCTTTACAATCGTGAATTGTGCTGCAATAAACATACACCCGCAGGTGTCTTTTTGATAGTATGACTTCTTCACCTTTACTCAGTAATGGGATTGCTGGATTGAATAGTTGACCTATTTGGTTCTTTGAGAAATCTCCATACTGTTTTCCATAGGGGCGGCACTAATTTACATTCCCACCAGCAGTGTATAAGTGTTCCCTTTTCCCCATGTCTGTGCCAACATCAATTGTTTTGTGACTTTTTAGTAATGAGCATTCTGGCTGGGATAAGATGGTATCTCACTGTGGTTTTAATTTGCATTTCCCTGATGATGAGTAATGTTGAACATTTTTTCGTATATTTGTTGGCCATTTGTATGAAGGATCTTATTGTTAATGTGAAGGATGGGCTGTTCTCAGGGCTCAGGAGGGGAAGGATGGAAGCTAGACTGTTTTCCAAAGGCCATCCTCGGGGCAAGGACCACACACTCAGAGGTGGAAGCTGCATGACCTTCCTCTCACCCATGCCAGCCTTTGGGTCTCTGCGGCAGAGAGGTGTGGGTCTATGTGGTAAATCACTCAGGCCTTCCCATTCTATTCCCTCCCTAAAAAATCCCCAAGGCCGAGACCTGCCCTGGGCACATCTGCTTCCTCCACGTTCACTAGCACTGACGTGGCTGCTGGGCTGGCCCCAGCTGACCATGTTTCCTGTGGTGGTGGTGACAGGGGCCTGGCAGGTGGTCAGGTGAGGACAAAGTGTGCTTGGGCAGATAGAGGGGTGGCCAGGCCAAAATCCTGCCATGGTGGCAGTTTGTGTTTGGGGAAGTGCTCTGGGTTGCAATTCTGACATGGTTCTACCTAGAGGCCTGGAGCCTGCCAGGAAGAGGTGCCTGGGCACGAGGAAAAATGCTCTGGCCTCCCAGCCCAACTTGTGGTTGGAATGCTATTAAAACCTGTTATTTCCCACACTCTCTGCTGATAGACTGGTCTTGAGTGCCCTTGGTGCACAATGTCCAATTTTTCATCCTTTGTGTCTCTGGTCAGCATCACCTCCTCCAAGAAGCCTTCCCTGACTTTCCCTACTGCCTGCCTCAGCCTGGGTTAGAGGGTCCAGCTGGCGTAGCACTTGTCCTATAACCTGTGTGTTCTACTTTCCATGTCAGACAGTGTACTAGAGACAGTATCACAAGCTTCACACCCAGTGAGTGCTCTACGAATGCTCACTGGATAAACCCATGAGCTGACATACATCCTCCATCATTATTTAAAAATTCTGTGTGGGCTTTGGAAGGGTGTGGGGTCCTGGGGTCTCCACTGTCAGGGCCAATTGGGATGTGCAGTTTCTCAGGGCAGAATTCCCAAGGGTGCATTTGGTGGCTGACTTGAAGCCAACAGATCCCCTTTGTTTCCTTATCAGCTCTCGGCCAAGGCTCAGAGATAGTAGAGAGGAAGAGGAAGAACCATGCCCACCTTTCAGGGAGTCAGTGGGGTGGAAAGAGCCTGGGCTTCTCAGTCACACAGAACTGGATTTGAATCCTGGCTCCACTATTAAGTAGCTGGGTGACCTCAGGCAAGTCTCTTAACCTCTCTGAGCTTCAGCAGCATTATCTGTAAAATGGGAATCATAGTCACACCTGCTGCATAGGATTGTTGAGAAGCTTCAGTGAGAGCGTGTATGCAGAGCACCGTGCCGGGGCTATTGTCAGCACTCATCAGAGAGTAGCCGCCATAATAAAAATAATAATAATGGTGTTATTGTTAGGCATATGTTAGGAGCTAAAGATACAACGAGGTGTAAGAGATAGTCACTACACTTCAAGGAGCTGACTGTATGAGTCAGGAAATTGAGACACGTGCATAAAAAAAGCTAATGGCAGTGGCCTCGCGCGGTGGCTCATGCCTGTAATCCCAGCACTTTGGGAGGCCAAGGCAGGCAGATCACCTGAGGTTGGGAGTTTGAGACCAGTCTGACCAACCCCGTCTCTACTAAAAATACAAAATTAGCGGGGTGTGGTGGCGCATGCCTGTAATCCCAGCTACTCGGGAGACTGAGACAGGAGAATCATCCTGAATCCGGGAGGCGGAGGTTGCAGTGAGCTGAGATGGCACCATTGCACGCCAGTGTGGGCAACAAGAGTGAAACTCCGTCTCAAAAACAAAAACCAAAAAACAAAAACCAAACAACAAAAACAATAACAACAACAAAAACTAATGGCACTATGCGGGACATGCCCAGTGAATGGCGAACACAAGTATTTTTCCTGTTAATCAGAGGAGGCAGCAGCAGCTGAGAGGCGGGTGTCCAGCATGGGGAAGTCGGTCTTGGGGGAACAGTAGGAGCCAGGTAAATGGAGAGCAAGTGGGAAACAAGAGAGGACATAGCACATGCAAAGACAGAGAGAAGACAGAGCAGAGGCTACCTGGGGCCACAGCCAGCAGGCCAGCTCGACTGGAGCAGGTTGGCTTAGAGGAATGTTAGAGTGGATGAGACCAGGACGGTCTTCAGTGCTTGTCTATGGACTTGAATCCTGAAGACACCAGGGAACCATTGAAGGTCTCTGTGACATGGGCCAGGTGGAAGTTTGGAGATGTTTATCCTGGCCAGCCCTCGGTTTGGATTCTGGTGCTCTTCTCAGAAAGGAGAGTTCAGCTCACAAAACCCAGGCATCTGGTCTGGGTAGCCATGCCTGCTAGTTTCACAGTTGCACTTAGGATTCCTGAGATGACAAGGCCTGTGTATCTGCCTCCTCTTCCTCACTGACCTTGCCTACACCCCCTCCGCCAGCAGACCCTGGTCTCCCTGGGTCTCTGGCGACTCCTCGAGTACGCCACGTTCCTTCCAGCCTCCAGAGCCCGGTCTTTGCCTCGCCCTCTGCCTGGGAGACTGCCCGGGTCTTTGGGGGTTCACTTCCTTTGCACGCTCCCATCTCTCTCTTCAGAGAGGTGCCCTGGCCGCCCCATCTGAGTCTCCTGGTTGGGCCTGAACCCCTGCATCACCCGGGTTAATTGTCTTCACAGCCCTTGAAACTGCCTGAGGCCACATCATGCTATTGTTTTCTTGCTTCCTGTTAGTGTCCTTTACCACAAGCCCCAGGCAGACAAGAACTTTGTCCCAGTGCCTGGCACTCACTAGGGCTCAGCAGCTATTTGTTGAATGATTGAATGAATGAATGAATGAATGAATGAATGAGGCGTTGGGTTTCGAGGGTGCAGTGTGAGCCAGACCATGCTTCCCGGGCTCACACATGTTCCCCAGTGGAAGTCCTGGTGGGGGAGGGGCAGGACTCCGTATTCCAGTGTATGCCTCTGCATGGGATTTTCCCTTGGCCAGTAATCACTGGATGTGACTCTGGAATTTGCAAGGGGATGAAGGATAGTGAAGAGAGGAGTCAGCCTGGGGAGCTGGTGGCTAATGCTGCACAGGGCTAACCGGGAGAAGGGCCTGGTTTCAGCTCCACCTTGCCCCTGGCTGGACCCACAGCCCAGAAGGCAGAATCCAGAGACAGCCTGAGCCCTGAACGGAGGCCCCACAGAGGAGGGGACTTACCTGGCCGGCAGTGGCTGTGATGCCGGCAGCTGTGTTCTGGCCACCGTGCTTTCTCTGGCGCAGTCGGGAGTTCTGCCTTGCTAAGGAGATGGAGAACAACGGGAAGGAGAGGAGAGACTGTCAAGCTGAATATGCCTTTGAAGGATGCATAGGGTCCTCTAACCTCCTTAGTTCACCCCTCCCGTGATTTAGGAGCAAACAGAGGCTCAGTGAATTGAAGACCACACAGCTCATGAGTGACAGGAAAATCCCAGCAACTCAAACCGCTTGAATTTCAGGCCAGTGTTGGGCCCTTTCCCACCAAAGAGACTCATTCATTCATTCATTTGCTCCATATTTACTGAGAATCTACTCTGTGGCAGTCCCTATTCTAAGTTCCAGGGCCACCGTCTGTCCTCAGGGGACTTCCAGTCTGGTGGGAGTGAACATTTCAGTATAGACACAGTGTCAGGCAGTGCGCTTCCTCTTCAGGGTGCTCTGTGGGACGTGGTGGTGTGAGCCACTCTGCAGCTGGCCACACAGTCTTTGGTTGTCCAAAGATCAGAGGTGAACGTGTCCTGGGGGTCTGTGGATGGAGGTGGGAGAAGCATGGGTCAGGGAGCCCTCTGAGGCCAGGAGAGTGGCTTCCTGCTTGAGCGATGGGGTGGGCAGCACTCAGGAGGGTACTTCTGACAGGAAGGAGTGGGCAGCTGTGGTCTCAGCGCCCCATGGCCACTGCTGTCACCTCTCTCCCTGTGTCCTCAGCCGTGTGCCAGCCGCCGTGCCAGAACCGGGGCTCCTGCAGCCGCCCTCAGCTCTGCGTCTGCCGCTCCGGTTTCCGTGGAGCCCGCTGCGAGGAGGTCATTCCCGACGAGGAGTTTGACCCCCAGAACTCCAGGGTGGCACCTCGACGCTGGGCCGAGCGTTCACCCAACCTGCGCAGGAGCAGTGCGGCCGGAGATGGCACCTTGGCCAGAGCACAACCGCCAGCACCACAGTTGCCGTCCGCACCACAATCGCCGCCCGTACCACAGTCGCCGCCAGCTGGGTAAGTCCCCTTCTCCATGGGGCTCGGGATCTGGGGCTCAGTCTCTTTCTGGAGGGGCTTCTTCCTTCGGACCATTTGGTGAAGGCTGGTGGAGAAGACCACAGTCTTCCCTTCCCTCCTCCCCACCCTCCTTGGCTTTCCCTGGCACGGCCAGAGATATGAGCAGGAGAGTAGGTGTTGGGGCTGACTTGGGCTTTGCCAGACTGGGGTGGAAAGAGGAGGGAAGTGAAGTCTTTGCCCTCGGGTGCCTGAAATAAAGCTGAGGAGGGCATGTACCTGGGACCATGGCCTCCTGGTTCACAGTCTGGCTTTGCCATTTCCCAGGTGGGCAACCCCAGGTAAGTCACTTACCTCTCTGTGCCTCGGATTCTGTATCAGTAACGTGGGACAATGATAATACCTGTGTTATGAATTGTCATAAAGATTAAATTAGTCAACATGAGGGAAGTGCTTAGAACAGTGCCTGGCACACATGGAAGTTCTTTATACACGTTCTCCCACACCCCATCCCGACCTCCTCCTCCTCTGCCTGTGGTCCCTGTGTCCCTTCAGTTTCCTCAGCACCCAGCTTCAGCCTCTCTCCTTAGAGGGGAGAAGAAGAAGCATGTGGGAGAAGGGAGTAGAAAGGAAAGTGAACAAGGAGAGTGTTCATGGGCAGGATTCCCTGGCCTGCTTGCCAGCCAATCTGGCTAGACTTTTTCTAGCTCAGGACAGGAAATCTGAACTTTATAAACGAGTCCATTTCTAGGGGACTGTGTTTTCCTTTTAGTTTTTCAGGTTAGTTTTTCCATTCGCTTCCTACTTAAGAAGTTCTTTCTGAAATGTTGCAACCCTGCCTTGCTGAACTAAAGGGAAAGAGGATTTGCCCTTTCAGAGCCCAGGAGAACCAGGCAGAGGAGGCTGACCTTGAGGTTAGGTTCCAGCAGGAAAGGTCTGGAGAGAGTGGCTGAGTTGCAGGAGGAGCAAAGAAAGGAGGTTAAGGGTGTCCAGGGACTCTGAGAGCAGGTGAGGTCAGGCAGACCAGGCTCTTGGTGAGCTGGGTTCTGGGGCCCTGGGCACCCAAGTAGATGTTTTCCAAGGGCAGCTAGGAGGAGGAAGAAAGAAAGGATGGACTCAGGTCAAGGGCCTAGGGAACTCCAAGGTCAAGAGCAAAAGAGCCAAACCCTGCAGCCAAGGCCCAAAGGTCCTGCGGCAGAAACAAGGAGCAGAGCTAAGGGGCCCCAGGTGGATAACAATGAGGGCCTGGGATTGGCAGTGAGCAGGTGGGCAGTGCGGGTACCTTGTTCTGATCGGTCCCCGCTGAGGGTCCCAGGTGGTAAGCCTGGTGTAAGGCACCTGGAGGAATACTAGAGGTGCCAACTCAAGGGCCAGCCAGGGCCAGGGTGGGCACGAAGTCCTTCCAGCGGAGCTTCACCCATCTCTGTTGGCTTGTGGGATTCATTTATTTATGATGCACTGATCCCATGAGGGTGTGTGCTGGGAGCGGGGGTTGCTGGGCAGGGTGTGTCCTGGGAGCGGGGATTGCTGGGCAGGGTGTGTGCTGGGAGCAGGGGTTGCTGGGCACGTCACTCTGTCTCTCACACTCTTGAGTCGGAGTCATTTGAAGTCCCCCGTCACATCTTGCTGCCCGTCTGACTCCTCCCCATTCTTCAAGGTGAATCACATTCACTAGGCTCTCTGGCCCCCGCAGCACTTACTCTCTGGCACACATCCTGTGCATCTGTGCCCTGCACCTGCAGCCGCTTGTCGACCCAGTGGCCTGTGCTTTGGATTTCTCTACAGCTCCCCCAACAGTGCCTGGCCCATCAAAACTGCTCAGTCCATATTTGCTCTGACACTGGGTCCAAACTACAGAGTTAGCCTAACAAAAGGGCCCACTTGGCACTGGACCCTCAGCCCGTACCTGCAGCCAAGGGCACCACCCCATGTGTTGCTCAGAGGGCAGGAGGAGGTGAGGCCCCTGCCAGTTCCCACGGTGGGTGCTCCATCTTTCCCTGGCGCAGCACTTTTCACCCTGCCTTTAGATGGTCTGTCCATTTGCTCACTGGACCGGGAGCTACCTGGGAACTCACAGGGACTGTGTCCTGCTCATTCACCAATGTGTTCCTGGTACCTAACACCATGCCTGGTACACTTCTGTGCTCAATCAGTGTAAGTTAAATGGATAAATGAATGAGGCTAGGTGATGGGGAGAGGGGAGGCTGCGAGGCCAGGAGGATGGGCAATGTGAGCCTTCCATCCCCCAGTGAAGGTTTCCTGTGTGTGACGGGCAGTGGAGGGCAGAGGTCCTGGGTGACGTCTCTGGCCCACAGCAGGGCTGTCCTCTTTGATTTTCACAGGCTCCCTGGCCAGGGGCTACTGTGATATTCTTAATGAGCTGCAGCCTCCAAGCCAGCCTAGTCTCTCTGTGCCCTGGGGCCTCAATGCCATGAAATCTGGGAGCGCCCTGCTATTGGCCCAGCTGCTGGCCCAGCTGTGTTTTGCTTTAGGAGGCCAAATCCTGCTTGCCTGGTGGTGTCAGACATTTCCTGTGACCTTGGCCAGGTTTCCCAAGCAGTCGCTGGCCTGTCTCCTGATAGCAACTTGGACAGGCCCTGTGTGTCCAGATAGAGGTGGTGACATGATGCAGGGGGCATTCTAGGAGTTGGGGAGGCAAATGTCTGGGGAGGGGAACACTGCAGGAATTGGTGATGGCCAGAGGCCCCCTTTAGGAGGGCAGGCAGAGACCGAGAGACTTGTGTCCCGGAGGAAGACCAGAGGGAGAAGCTAGGAGTGTCTCAGGCAGCAGGCAGGGTGCCCTACAGAGGGCCAGACGTGGACTGATGCTGTCCAGCTGTTGTCTGGGCTAGCTGGAGGGGTCTGGAGACTCCCTTGAGCCTCATGTCCTGGCTTCTTTCCCAAGGCTGGGCAGAGCGCCTGCCTTACCTGGAGAGCAAAAGCCAGGCGCTGGGAAGGGCCTTGAGAGATGGGGAGAGGGCTGGTTACCAGAATCTACAACCAGCAGGCTTTGGAAAGCAGTGGTTTAGACTAGCGCTTCTCAAAATGAAACCAGTAGGTGAGTCACCTGGGAACTTGTCAACATGCAGGTTCTGATTCGGCAGGTCTGGGATAAGCAACTCTAATGTGGTCCCACGGGATGCTGATGCTACTGGACCATATTTTGAGTAATGAGGGTTAGAGCCCAGGCTTTGGTGTGTTCTAATTCTGGATTTACCACTCACCAGCTGTGTGTCAATAGGCACTCACCCTAACCTCTCTGAGCCAATAGTGTCCACCTGATAGGATGACAGGAAAGATTAAATGAGACCATGTGAGTAGAACGCTTAGCGTGGTACCTGATATGAGTTAGTGTTCAATACATGATTCCTGTCAGTGGGCAGGATCTCTTTGCTGTGAGGACTTGGTTGGATGGGAGGAGATGGCAAAGAGCAGAGGAAACTGGAGTGTGTGTGTGTGTGTGTGTGTGTGTGTGTGTGTGTGTATGCAATGTACACAGAACACGTGTAGACCTGTTATGGGAAGAAATCAGAGTCCAGACTCAGCCTCAGGGGTCAGCAGGTCCAGTAGTGGCTTTGGCTGGCTTGGGATACAGTCATTCCACCAGGACCATTGTCACCAGCCCTAGGGGAGAGGAGGTTAAGGGGAGGTGTCAAGAATGGGAGGGACCTCCGCTGGGTTTGCTCCTTGTGCAGACCTGAGGACCTAGAGGCTGAGCCCTGGAGACATCCTACACAGGCTCGAGGAGAATCACTTGAACCTTGGAGGTGGAGGTTGCAGTGAGCTGAGATCGCACCATTGCACTCCAGCCAGGGTGACAAGAGTGAAACTCTGTCTCAAAAAAAAAAAAAAGCCTAAGCAGGCTTGGTCACAACATGGGCAACAAGGGGCCTGAAGGGCAGTGCTGAGCCGTGAGTAGGGTGGCTGGGGTGTGTCTGGGGAGCTGTGACCCCGTGATGGTGGCTCCCAGCAGGCTGCTCCTGCCTGGTCGCTCCCTCTCCTCTGGATCGCCTTCTCTCTGCACACCCCACCTCTTTATCCACTGTGTTCATTTTCTATGGCTGCCATGACACACAATCACAAAATTAGCAGGTTCAAACGACACACATTTATTTCTCTACAGCTGTAGAGGTCACACATCTGAAACGGGTCTCACCAGGCTGAAATCAAGGTGTCAGCAGGTTCCTGGGGCTCTAAGGGGGCTCGGTTTTCTTGCTCATTCAGGTTATCTGCAGAATTCAGTCCCTTGCAGTTGTAGGACTGAGGCCCCATTTCCTTGCTGGCTGTCACTCGAGGGCCGTATCAGGAGCTGCCCTCATTCCTTGGCTTGAGGCCACCTTCCTCCATCTTCAAAGCCAGCAGCAGCAGGTGGACTCTGTGTTTGGGTCTCCCCTCTGCCTGCCTCTTTGGCTGTCTCTCTCCATGACTCACTCCCTTGCCTCCCTCTTCTACTTTTAGGGGCCCATGTCATGACCCTGGGCCCACCAGGTAATCCAGTACCATCTCTCTATTTTAAGGTCAACTGATTGGCAACCTTAATTCCATCGGAAACCCTAATTTCCTTTTGCCATTTAACATAACATATTCAAAGGTATAACCCCAGGGACGGAGATCATGGGGGCCAACCACACCCACTCACTACAGCACATTCCAGCTGGGACCCTTGTCCAAAGTGGAAAAGCTCCCTCTTATCAAGGGCTTGCCACAAGGGTGGCCCTACATGATCTGGCCCCACAGTCTTTCTGACATCCCCATTGTCCACCCTCACCACTCACAGCCCATATTCATCCTGCTTCTGCTCTGCCAGCTGACTGTATCTTCCTCAAACATGCTGGAGATGCTCCCACCTCAGGGCCTTGGCCCTTGCTATCCCCCTCCCTGGAGCCCTGGAATTTTTTTTTTTTTTTTTTTTTTTGAGACAGGGTCTCATGCTGTCACCCAGGCTGGAGTGTAATGTCACAGCTCACTGCAACCTCGACCTCCTGGGCTCAAGCGATCCTCCC